GCATACAAATGATAATTACACGAGATATAATTAGTAACACTATTAACGAACAAAGAAAAAAGTAACGGACCCAATACACTGCCCTGAGGAACACCACATTTGATTGCACAAGCAGAAGAAATTGAAGAGTTAGCGCGTACGCACAAGGAGCGATGGGAAAGGTAGGATTGAAACCAAGAAACACAGGGGGGAGTGAATCCGTAGGCAGAAAGAGACGCTAAAAGAAGGCTGTGGTCGACAGAATCAAAAGCCTTGCTGAAATCGAGCAGTACCAACACAGTAACACATCTGTTGTCGCAGGCATACCTAATATCATCAGTAACTTTAATGAGAGCAGTAGTTGTACTATGCCCACTGCGAAAACCCGATTGCAACTCATTGTGTAAATTAAACCTCTCTAGAAATCCTTGGACTTGTAAATAAACTAAGCGTTCAAGAGCTTTTGATAGTACGGATAAAATTGAAATCGGACGGAAATCAGTGTTACATGAAGAGGACTTGGATTTGGGTATGGGAACGACATGAGCAACCTTCCAGACAGAGGGAAATAAAGACCGCTCAAAAGAAAAGTTGAAGATATGAGTTAAGGGAGGAAGCACTATATCCAGGATAGGAAGAAGAAGGTTGAGACCGATACCATCAGAACCCACGCAAGGGGACTTCGAATAAGTCAAAGCATCGCCTACTTCGATCGCGGTCACAAGCGTAAGAGAGAAGGAGCAAGATTTAAGAGAAGTAAGAATTTTATTAATTGTAGCCGCCTTAGCTACGTCATCGATGATCAGGGGAGGTTCTGCAAAAAAGTTTGCCATCGACTCACAATCAAGATCCATCCATTAAGAAATTAAATGAAAATAAAGCAGAATCAATTGTCATTGATATGAAATTACCCTCAAACTTACCCGCGGTGAAGTTCTTGGGTGTATCTCTTATTCCTAAGTTAACATGGAATCCACATATTGATATCATAAGAGAAAAATTAAAGTCAGCAATTTTTACAAGTTAGCCAAAATAGCCTATTTTGCAAATTTTCATGCTGTTGCAACATATGGCATAGTTGTTTGGGGTCATTCACCTGGCTTAAGAAGAATTTTTGGTTTGCAGAAGAAGGCGGTGAGAGCTTTATGCAATCTTAAAACTACTGACAGCTGCAAAGATGTATTTAAAACAGAATGTATACTTACCGTACCAAGTGCATAAATTTTGGCTACCTTGATGTATGTTTATGACAATAGAAGTGAATTTAATGCGAATGCAAACTTTCACACACACGACACAAGAGGCAAAAATGAACTAAGATTACCGTTACATAGGATAGAAGCAACTAAAAGATGTGCTGATTTCTGGGGAGTTACATTTTTTAACAAGTTGCCAAAAGAAATCATAACTATGGAACGAGGACACTTCAAAAAATGTGTGAAGTCAAATCTGGTCAAGAAAGCCTACTATGTATGGTCAGATTATATGCAGGATCAATTTGTGGAGTAACAAAGTTAATTTGTTTTATTACTATGTTTATACATTTATTTTAGTATTTGCTATTGACTTTTCAATGTGATACTATATTACTTACGTGAGTAAACACTAGTATAAAATTATGGTAGTATTTTGGAGCAAGATGTTAGAAATCATAGATAAAATTAATACATGACTTCAAAAAGTTGATATTACAAGCTATTTTTGTTCTCTTTTTTGCAATTAAATGTAATACATGCTTTGTTTTTGTTCATTATATTGACTTTGTTTAGTGCAATGAAAATATATTGACTTCTTGAGGTTGAACCTGAATTTTACCCTTGTTTATAGACCAGCCCCGGATCTTGAATTTTTTTAGGCGGGGCAAAAACTGAAAAATGCCGCCCTCGCCCACTTATATTTATTTTTACCTTTATCATTTATCATCTATATAATTTCAGCTATCAGATGTCTACTAATTGATTGACATTTGGACATAGCCTACATAGGCCTTCCGGAAAGAATGCATCCATCGCTGTTCTTTCTGTGTTAAGCCTATTTATTTACAGATATATAGACATGAACGTGTAGGATATATATTTTATACACAGCACAAGATAGGATTTAAAATAAAAATATGTATAATAAAAATAAAAATCAAATATATTATTGCATTTGTGAATTGAAATTAAAATTTTACTCTTCGAGCTTTTTGTTCAGCAAATAAATCTATGGCCTTGTCATAATTTATCTCGTGTGCAATTCGATTTTCTATCGCTAAGATTGCAAGACTCGATAAGCGTTCTTTTAACACTCTTTTTAATTTCTGATATGATTCGATCAAATACCATCATTATTACTTTAGAAAATAGTTGAACAGGTTGGAATGTTTGTAATTCGTCTTCACACATCCCATCGAAATGTTTTTTACGTTTTGGAATTCGTTAGTTTTGCAAAATAGGGTCAACACCACTCTTTTAAGCAACTTCTTCAGCCTCTTTTATCCAATATTCCATTGGATTTTGTCTCATTTCAAAGTTTTGAGCAGACTATCTATTAGTGCGACGGAACGGGCAAGGATAATATCTTCGGGAAGCAAGGATAATTATTCGCCCAAATAGTTAAATTAAGAATAAATTTAAAATCCTTTATAGCAGTTAAGAGATAACCTGCCTCGTATTTAGCTTCTGGAGCATGAGAAGTTTGCTTTTAATTTTTTCTAAGGCTTCCGCTATTTCTGGCAAATTATGTAATTCACAGCAACATATTTCGCCGACCATCTCGTCTGACTACTTCCTTTTAAATTTGTTTTAACGTATTTTTTCATAATGTCCCACCTAGTAGTGGAGCCAACAAAAAAGCAATATACTTTTTGAATCAGTCCAAATAAGTTAATACCTTCCTGGCATGATGAGGCAGAATGAACACCTACAAGATTTAAGGAGTAAGCCAAGCACGGTACGAACTCGGCCAGCTCATTCCTTTCTGCAATCTTGGCTTGTACCCTTTCGCAATTAGCCAACGTCCTGTACCACATAGAACATACTTCTACTATTATTTATTCCGTGGTCAAAGTTAAGTAAATGATGAATTGTCTATTCGTCTGTAAAGTGTGAATTTGGCCGCCCTCTGAACTTGCCGCCCAGGGCGTATACCCCGGCTTGCCCCCCCTAGATCCGGGGCTGTTATAGACATATAGTTATTCACCCGGTCGAGTTGGGTTACTCCCGCTCGTGCTGCTTCTAGCGGCAAACAAGAAAAACATCATTTTATGAATGAATTTAAACCTTGTGCTAACTAACCTTCTGCTAACTAACCCTCTGCTAGTTATAGTAAAATTTAATTTTAAGAATACATAAATCACTCTGCCATCTAGGCATCACGATCACAAATCGTAAACAAGGATATTATTTGGCGAACATTGATATAAACGAAATAATAAAAACAGAAATCTTTTCAAATAATAATCAAATGTTTCAATTAATGTAGTATTCTGTATTATCGATATTTTGTGCTTGGTGACAAAATGTATTTAAATCAATACGAAAGGTAAAAGAATTTGGATATAATATGAAACTATTGAATTGAATGGATTTTCCAATGTAATTAATTTTAGGTTAAGTTGTTTTTAAATGCGTTTGTTGTGCCATCTTTGGTATAAAAGTGTAAGTAAAGGGCATTTATCGGTTGAGACGGGCGCGGCACACCACGACCAACTCCATCAGGCAACGAGCAACGGCATGCGCTGAAAGGAGTTAGTAAAGTGCAGCTATACGACAACCAACAAGCCATCGCCCGAAAACCAAGAGAAATAACGGTGTTAAATCCAACGGTGAACGTACGGTAAGTTGAAACTTTTTCCTGTTTTGCCTCAAGCCAGCCTCCTTCCCCTCTGGAGCCGGCACATAAACGAGTACGATTATAAACGAATAAAATCGCAAGTGCCGCAAAAGCGATGGATATTCTACATCTAAGTGGGGATTTGTTCATCATCAAGCCTTGAGCCATGACAGTGAACTAAAACATACACAGTGCGGAGTTAAATTTAAAAGTACCCGTGGAGAAGATATCCAAGTGCCCCCCAAAAACCCGAGCCCCCGAAGTACTCACAGCTCGAGTATACCAGTTGCTCCTACCGGAAGAAATCGACTCTGCCCCCACGGACACTCTTGGATTTCGGCCGATTTGGGCATTTGTTTTGGATACGACGTACGTATCTTCTAAATTCCTTTTTGTTAGACGGCAGAGGGGCATATCTTTTTAGATTTTTTCAACAACGATCTCAAAAAAAATCTTTCTAAAAAAATAGTATTTTCATAATCTTCATATATTTTTTTAAAACCTCCTTTTCCTCTAGATGTTTCAAGAAACAACCAAACAAATTTCCGCTAATTCTATTTTCTAGCTTTTTTATTTCAATATTCTTCTTTTTAACACGCTTTTTGCTGTGATAAAAAAATTATTAAGTGCTTGTAATTAATATCCAATTAAAATTTTCCTACTTTGGGTAGACTCCTGATGATTGTGATTACGCACTGAAATTGGTAAAGTCGACATTTCAAAAATGATATCCTATCTACTTTTGTTTCAACCTAAATTCCATTTGGTTAGATAGCAGAGTTGCATATCTTTTTGTATATTTTTGTTCCAAATTCTTTATTTATTTTCCTGCCTTTTTTATTTGAGTTTTCTTGTCTCAGTCTTTTTTATTTTTTTTTAACAAATTTCCTGTTGTGGTCTCTGTTGTTACCGCGATGAATCAGCCTTTGCTTTTTGTAGAATATTTGGCGGTGGTTTGCAAACTATAAAAAAAAGTTGGCTAAATTTTGTCCTGAGAAGAAAAACTTTTAAAAATCCCCGTTTTTTCCTTTCAGGGTAAATAGGATTGGTGATTGATCTTAATTGTTGGTGGTCAAGATGCGCGAATACAAGATTGTCGTTCTGGGCTCGGGAGGTGTAGGAAAATCCGCGCTTACCGTCCAATTTGTGCAAGAGATTTTCGTTGAAAAATATGATCCGACCATTGAGGATAGCTATAGGAAACAAGTTGAAGTTGACGGTCAACAGTGTATGTTAGAAATTTTAGATACTGCCGGAACGGTATGTTCGTCAATTTTGTATCATTAATAAATACTAATTAAAATGCCTCAATTAGGAACAATTTACGGCAATGAGAGATTTGTATATGAAAAATGGTCAGGGATTCGTCCTGGTTTATTCAATCACTGCACAATCAACATTCAATGATTTACAAGACTTACGAGAGCAGATATTACGAGTGAAGGTAAGATATTTTGTTGTATTTTTTATCCTATACAAACATTAATCATTTTTCATGTTATCAAACCTGATATGATAAGGCTATAGTTACACTTGGTGACGACACAAATATTAACGGGAATTTTGCGTTTTTTACATGTTCCCCCTATTTTTCCTGTCAAATCAATTTCGCCATAACTAAAAATATTTACCACAAAACATATTTGTTGTAGATAAGCTTGTAAAATAAAAAAAAAATCATTTCCTTTCATCATTCAGTCTCAATTAAAATTAGTCACCCATTAAACGACTATTCACATTCACATGACTCATGTATCATAACTATCACAACTACTTGTTATGATAATTGAGTGGAAAAAATTATATCGAATTAAAAAAATAAAAATAAAATTGATTGATACTAATTTTTTTTTTTATTTATTTAGGATACAGATGACGTGCCCATGGTGTTGGTTGGAAATAAGTGCGATTTAGAAGAGGAAAGGGTAGTGGGCAAAGATCAGGGAGTAAATTTGTCGCGCCAGTTCAACTGTGCCTTCATGGAGACATCAGCCAAAGCAAAAATTAACGTAAAGGATGTAAGTAAATGCAAAGATTTAAGAAAAATCTTGTTTTTATTAGGATAGTTATTCATATATACAGGGTGTCTCATGTAATTGTTAAAAGAACTTAATATTAAAATAGAAGATACGGGTATCTTCTGCATCAGAGCATCATACAAGCATTATTATTGTAGGCTACATTATTCTGAAGCGATTTTTCTCATAACATTTTTCCGAAATGTTTATAATAACCGCACAGGAACTGTTTAAAGTTGTCCAAAAGTAATTTTTTAAACAGTTCCCGTGGGGTTATTCACGCCATATATTATATTATTAATTATTCAGAATAATGTATCCTACAACCGTGTAATGCTCTGATGCGGAAGATGCAGAACACCCTGTATACCCCATTGGGGTAAAATATTAAGTCTGTTTTGGTTCAAGAGTTCTGTAGTTCCAAACAGTTCTGAACCTTTCTGCGCATACATACTTATTTATTTATTTAAATGTGTTTGGGATGCAGTCGGGTCAAGCCCAGCGAAACATCCGCTAATAAATATAATAAAAAATATGCAGTTAACAAGAATTCTTAACAAAAATGGATAAATCTGAATAACAAGAAAAACGAGAATGGTTGAAATTAACAATAATATGTATGTAATATATAATATATTAACAAAAGTAAAAACAAAAGAAAAAACTGTCAGCCTATGTTGTAAACAATGTTCAATGCCAGGATACAGCATGAACTTTCCTTCTAAACGACGACAAGGTGGCAGCGAATATGTCAGAATCTGAGCAATAATGGTTGAATCGCGGAGTTTGAAAGCGCATAGGTATTAGTGCGCGGCACAAAGAATAGTGACCTTTAAACTGTATCTCAGAGAGTTTCGTGGAGCAGTCAACAATACCGTTAATAAGTTTGTAGAGAAAAATTAAATCATTTATATTGCGCCTGGAGGAAAGCTGCGGGATGCTGAAAACTATGCATCGCTGGGCGTAGTCGCAGTAAGGTCTCTTACGCGACTAAGAACGTTTTTGTGTGCAAGGTACCTAAGAAAACGCTTTTGTACTTGCTTCAAGCGATCAATGTAAATGCGATACTGTGGGTGCCAAACTGTAGATGCATAGTTAAGTACTGAAGACACATAAGCGAAATAAAATGAACGAATACAGGACAGATCAGTGAAGGGTCGGCATGTACGACATAAAAAGCCGAGGCTTTGTTAACAATAGAATCAATGTGAGTTTGGAGTCGAAAAGAACGCCAAGCAAGTAATCAAAATCAGTAGGATAGCGTTTACGTGTGAAAGTAATCTTGCTGCACTTGTCATAATTAATATAAAGATTATTAATACAATATGCTTGTAGTCTGTCCAAGTCGCTTTGCAACTTTGCACAGTCTTGAAGCGAGCAAATAGGTGCAAATATCTTGCTGTCGTCGGCATACAGAAGAAATTTTGAGTGGTGGAAGCAGGTATGAATATCGTTGATGACAATACGCAATATGCAATTTCTATGTGGGAAAGTTTAGAACCACAGAACTCTTGGACCAAAACTGCGAGCTTTACAAGCTATTATAATTCGGAACCACAACAAAAATTTAGTCAAAAACACTTCTTTTACAACATATGCAATGAGTAACCAAGTAAATACACAAAATTGTCAATATTACGTAGTCAAAATCCACATTGCGTAAGAGGTCCTCACACCAACAACATTTTTTCCTTTTATGATAAGATTTTCTGATCTAACTCAGTCAAACAAGACTTATTTTTGTACTATGCATACTATGCAGCTCCCAATTAACCTTATTTAAACCAATTATTTCCTGATTGATTTGAAAGGCATTTAAGTTATTATTAATATCTAAGTGCTAAATCTTTGACGACGTCATAATATTTTTATCGTTCATAATTCTTTCTCCTTCGATTTTCTTGCTTTCCAGACTCATTTTTACCTGGACTTCTTCTTTCATCAACTTTAACTTCCCCACCAAGATAACTATCTTTCCTCAATAAATTCCTACATCGATTGTATCATTTTATTTCTCTTGGTTATACCTGTTCCTTTCTAAAATAGCGTTATTTCTCAAAATAGTTCTCAAGTCTCCTGCTTGTATGATCCCTTTACTTGACCTGTCAAGATCATCTCCCATCTGCTTATTTATTACTTCAAATATTTTATATAGGCATTGAAAATAATACTATTGCTTCTATTTATTATTAATTTCAGTAATAGTACAATGTCATCCCGTTACTTGTATTCTTTGCAGTTGTAAATAATTTCTTTGTTAACGATTTACGTTGCTTGATAATTTCATCCATAAATATAACAAACAGTAATGGGCTCCTCATTCTATTAAGATTCTATTAAGATTCCTTACGATTTTTCCTGGGTGGGTTATGAAAAGCTTTTTCAAGGTTCAAAAACACCTTTATAGCTACACTTTGTAGTGTGTAACTGTGATTAATGCTTTCTCCCAGATCACAGTCATATCTTGTTATATATTACATGTAATTTCTTAATCGCCTTTATTCTCTTGTTTATATTATTCTTATTTAATGAATTTGAATAACAATTTTGTGTATTGAATTATTCACCTTATCTTGATTGACAAACCTAAATTTGTAGGCGGAATTAATCAGAAATAACAATCTTTTGTATTGTTTGTTATTGCATGCTTAAATGATTAAGCAAAAAAAATGCTGAGTAAACGGAACCAATTGTTGACTTAAATATAATAATAAATTTTTTGTTGTTGTAGATATTCTATGATTTAGTGCGGCAAATCAATAAAAAATCACCAGAGAAGAAGCAAAAACAGAAGAAGAAATCAATCTGTGCGCTCCTATAAGAAAAGGTATAAAAGAACCAAAATGATCAATATCGTTTATTAGACTATCTTTATTATAAATATATACATATATATATATTTCTATAAATATATGTGTGTATATTCATCTAATATGTATATTAGGACAAAGTGAGTAAGACGTGAAGGCAAGTGCGGATATGGGAGCATCGCCCCCCACTCACCGTCTCGGGCACGGCGCGCGTCGCTATTTTATTTAAAACTATTTCATCAATATTTGTATTTGTAATCTAACCGTAACAATATATGTGAGTTAAAAATTTTTCGAAAAAAATAAAATCAAAGTTATTGCATTTTTAGAAATATCGTCAATAACTAAATAGTAATTAACTCTATCGCTCTACGTTAGTGAGAAAACAAAAACATAACAAAAAAAATAATAAATAAATAACGCGGAGAGATGATAATAGAATTTCATATAAATCTACTGCCAATGAAAAAGTGGTGTGTCAAAACGCGTAGGTAGTTTTTAGTTATTTTTTGTCATATTTCTTTACTTATTACAATTTTTCTTTTCTTTTTATTATCAATTTTTTTTTAAATAAATTTGTTTCGGATCTAAAGACTATCCAAAACGGACAATATATTTAATAATTTTTTTTCGACCGGGAGTGTGTTTTTTCCCTTTCGTTGTTTTAATTCCCGTAGCGAGTAAGCGTTGTAGGGTGTAGCACCAGTGCATATCTAAGAAAAAAACTAATAAAAACATTTAAAAAAAACAAATAAATCGTTTTCCAAAAATAACTTTTTTAAATTTTAAAGATGTTCGTTTTCACCTTAATATTATCGAGTAAGCATTACACCGAGTCCGTTTTGATCCCGATTAATTAATAATTGTGCTATCAAGTAACTTGTATACCAAATATATGTAGGGTTAAAAATTCATTTATCTCGTATAGATTCTTCGACAATGTGCTTACTCCACAATAGTAAAAGGTCGAGCAAAGATCAATATTTATAAATAAAAACTCACTGTTCATTTCGAAACAGTTACCAGGTCCAAAAAGATGCAAAAAATAAGACATAAACGAAGTTAAAACAAGCTCGAATATATAGGTACTTGTGATATAATTAAAGATAAAAAAAATGACACTACGAGCACTCGATTTGTGTCCCATTTGCCAAATTTCATCTACTTAAGTAAGAAAAAATGTATTGGTAATTTTTAATAACAAAAAAATAAACAAATAAGTTGTTAAAAATTATTAAAAATCATTAAAGTGTTATAGTTACGTAAATTTTAGGATTAAAAAGTCATTTCATACAATCAACTTAGCGGTAAGTCTTAAAATTAAATTAAATAATATAAGGTATGTTCTAGCAACTTTAGAAAAGGTTGGAATTACTTTAAATTTCCAACTGTTTACAAACACTGCTAAAACAAACCTATTAAAAAATAGAATAAAAAAGACTAATTCTTTAACTTAATTTTTGTGTACCGCCCTAGAAGCAATAACGTATGCCTTTCGCGTTGAGTTGACTCTTACAGACTCGTTTTGGGACCATAGTTTCGATTTCGTTTTCCGGAATCCCCCGTAAAGGTGCTTCCATCGTAGGCGTTCCGTTTAACAATTAAATAAAACGAAATAGTAAAGAAATAAAAATAGTCGTCTTAAAAAAATAACGATGAATTACGTGATATATAAACGTTATAGACTTATGTGTGTTTTTATAATATGTATGTTTCATTAAGTAGCTGTTAACGGGGGAAATGAACAGTGAGTTGCGTCGAGTTTGGATTAGTGTGCGTTAAAAAAAAGAAAATAAAAAGACTTTTGTGATAAGGGGACACCGAGCTTTTTTTCGTGTACGTGGGTATAGCCGCTCTATTCTTCGCACCTGCCTATTGCACAAGTGAAGTCGCGGATTCAAATTGAAGTTAAAAAAAATAAAAAATATATATATAAAAATCGAAAAAACAAGTTGAAGCATTGAGATATATCCAGACGCAGACTTTTGTCACACATACCGCTCGCCAAAAAAAAGAAAAAAAAGATAAAGAAAAAAAATCTTTTCGAAATTCCGTTATACATAGTTAATATATACATATATATATACATCTATATATATATAATATATTTTTCACAGGATACTTTTTCTAGATTCGAATCACAAATATATGTATCGGTTGAAAGAATCATTTTTTCCATTGAGATCAATTTGACGAAAAATTGTATAAATCGATCTTGTTGTTTTTTAATATAAATGTATGTTAATGTATTCTAATGAGATAAATATAAATGAGAAACTGAAATATTTTATCAGCTTTTAATTTTTGTACGTATTAAGTCTTCCGAAACATTTAAAATACACTTTTAATTTTAGAAAAATTATCTTTTTTTTTAATTTAACTTTAATAACTGCTTTTTCGATGTACAAGATTTTGAATAAAAGTGCCTAAAGTGGAACGAATTATTAAGATACACTATTTTTGGAATCATATTTCTACATTCTGGGTAAGTATCGACTAAATTGTCGTTGGATATCATTTTACTAAACGTTATAGTGCAAAGGGAGAGGAGATCCTGAAGGCAAAGTGGTAAGTAGAAACGTACTTTAAAGTGAAGTGGCAAATTTAGGAATTTATGATTTGTAACTAAATCTATGTTAAGATGTGTTATGGATTATGTTATTATTGATAGATATGAACTATTTTTATTAACAAATTTTTATCCTATCAATCTTATTTTTAGAGTAACAAATATTTTATCTCCAAAACGGTACTTTTTAAAGATAAAAAGTTTTAATTAAGAAATGGAAATGTTTAGTATGGAACTGTTTATGGATTATGTTTTAATGATTCATTATGAACAATTTTTATTAATAAAATTTTCCCCTGTCGTTTATAATTTTTGAATTACGTTTAATTTTAATAACTACAAAATTTAGGGGTTATGAATTCTAACTAAACAACAACCATTGTTAGGTTGAAATGGGTTATGGATTATGTTGTTATTAATATATATCAACAATTCTAATTAATACATTTTCTCTACATCGATCTTACTTTAAGAATAACTCTCAAAAAGGTGCATATTAAGTATAAATAGAAATATTTAATGTTAAATTATTTATGGATTATGTTTTAATGATTCATTATGAACAATTTTTATTAATAAAATTTTATACTATGGTATATAATTTTTGAATTATATTTGAGTTATTTTTTATATTTTGTTAGATATGATGAGCATCATAGTTTCTTTCTTACCTTAATATGCTAAAGCTTTATCCAAACTAATAAAAGCAACCCTTTTATTTATTTAATTTTGTTTTATTAAATAATGATAGTGTGCTATAACAAAGTCATGCGCCTATACGTATACATTTTCTTATAAATTAAGTAACATCTTTTTTTTTTTATTAATAATGATAGTGTGCTATAACAAAGTCATGCACCTATACAAATACATTTTTTAATTAAAGAACATTTAAATAAACAAATAAACAGAAATATCTTAACTAAACGAAACAATTTGATTCTTTTGTGATTCTTTTTAAGTTACATGTTAGGGCGGTCAACATAAAAAGCTAAAATCATGGAGTGACGTACACCTCCACTCATTTGAACAATTCTCTTATTCTCCAAGGCTCTTGAGCTGACTGCGAATGGATTGAGACGATCTGCAATGTCGCCGGTTCCTAATTCTCCACTTGATCCGGTGCCCCAAACGATTAGGCCCATTTCATCGGTTGCAGCGAATGAGCAATCAGCTCCAATTCCAATTTCTGATACTCCTAAGCCTTCAAGGCACGGAATCGAAGTCAACATAGGTGTACTTCTTATGTTATAACCTAAGCCTAATCGCCCCCCTTCTTGGCGTCCCAAAACGTACACTTTCTTGTTTATGTCCAAGCCAATGGAACGTTCGAGGGTGCAGCGAATGTTTTTCCAGGAGTATTGTGAGAAATCAGGCGATACAGTTGGCATATAAATCTTTTGAGGGTCTGCAATTCCCAACTGACGGAATTGATTGTATCCCCACGCGTATACATCGTTGGAATCTTTTACTTTCGCGAGTGTGGTGTCTCCCCCTGCCCAGATATTTTCAAATTTGAGATCGTTGTCGATTTTGATCGGGTACAAAGCCAAGTGTTTCTCCATTGAGTTTTGGCAGTATCTAGTAGCGCTATGATCGGGAATACGACCTAATTGGCCATATTCCGAGCATCCTATGGTGCAAACAACACCAGATTTTGTTAAAGCAACAAAATGATTAAAACCGGAAGCGATCTTTACAACCGGCTCTTTAGAAAACATTAAGACGGGCAGTGCTTGTTGGCCCCCCAACGTTAAACCAATTGTACCATACGAATCTTTGAAATCTCCCCAAGCGTACACGTGACCATTATCTAATAAAGCTACTGTGTGGCACTCACCAGCTGTAACCTGGATCGCTTTTCCTGGAAGCTGAACAACCCCAGGACTAAATTTTGTGTTGTCAGCATCAAGAAGTCGACCCAATTGACCAAAACCATTGTGTCCGAACGTGAGCACAACCCCTTTATCAGAAACGCATACCGAATGGTTAAGTCCTGCGTGTATTCCAATTATTTCGTGGTCCATTTTCACCCACATCGGGTATTTCGTCTCCAAATAGTGTACTCCCAATCCCAATTGGCCCATTTCTCCATTTCCAGTTGTAAATAGGAACGATTTCGGTATTGGTTGATACGAGGTGGATGCCTGGCTGATGGTAAACTTTGAGCGTTCGCGTCCTTTTTTCGGAGGTTGCGATCCCGCTGCTTCCTCTACTGCCTCACATAATTGTTCCAGCGGTGGTAAATCATCACGTTGAGCCATTTTTCTTAAGAATTATTAGGATTTTCCTCAAACAAAAAGGTTTTTGCTTCCACACAAAAAACGCCGTGTAAACTAAATGTCGGTTAAAAATTCGACTGTCTTTTGTTTTAACAGTTTGACGCAAATTTTCAAAAAGTTCTAGAACAATTTTTAAAACTAATTTATTTTTTTAAATATTGATGCTTATTAATCGTATTTATTAATAGTGAGTTAATAAAACTGAATTTAAAGTAAATTTAAAGTTAGGATAACGTTTTTGGTAACAACGATCTACTACGCATGACGAGACATGCGCACTAAATTTAAATGTTTTAATTAACTTTTTAGCATTAATTTGTAGGTTTTAATATAAATGCTACGTTTTAATGTACCGAAATATAGTTTAAAAGTGCATTAACAAACCGAACTTAAAACACTACTGAATGTAGACACAACTAATCGTGATTTAATCGCGAACGTTACGCCACCTATCGGTTGATTCGTGAAGTATTAAACTAAGTACGTTAATAACCTAAAATAATTTTTTTTACGCAATAAATTGATAAAGTGCCTTATTTTAATATGTTTAGAACAAGAAATTTGGGAATGTGACTTATTCCTGATGTTTTTTATAATTTAAATTTGACGTTTTTAGGTTATTTTGGCTATGAAGATAAGTTTTTAGTAAATTTCTTTCATAAATAATTAATTCATTCCTTTTCTGGTTGATTTTTGCAGAAGCTTTAGTTCAAAAATATCCTGAGATGTTTCAAACTTTCTTTCAATAATGCTGTGCATTGAATCCCTTTGTTTGTTTATAACCACGTTCCAAGAAATGATGACGAATCATGAGTTGATTGTATAAAATAAACATTCTTATTTCTATTTTGGCCTCAACAAGTGTTAGAGAATTTTTATGAAAAGGAGTTGATTTTATTTGAAATGCGTTAAAATAAGTTAAAAAAATTAAATTAAATAGCACAGAGATCTTTTTTTTTAGTTATTTGAGTTATAAATTAAGAATTGGTGTTAGGAATTCAAAAAAAGCTTCATATAGGTTTATCCACGCCACCTACCGTTATAAATGTGCAACTTTAAATTTAAACACTCTCAAAAAGATGTCACTCAAACGTAAGTATCAAAATACTTTATTTAAAATATGAAATTATAAAATATTCTATAAAAACTATATAAACATTACAAAGAGTAATAATTATAAAAAATTTTTTTTAACAATTTAACCTCGACGATATGTTAAAAATAATTTAAAGCATCCATTAAAACAAGTGGAACAATTTTCGTTCTCATATAAATCTTTAGGAAGTTGCTTCTCAAATTCCTCTTCGTGCGCTTCTAACCAATAAAATACCTTATTTTTCGGTGCTAATGGTATTGCCGAAACTTTGTATCTTGAAAGGTCAATCGGGTAATATTCCTCATTAACCGAAATTGACTTTGCTGATCCAACGAGTGGCAAAAGATCAAACGATTCAACGGTGTATTCTGAGCTGTTTGATGATGAATCGCTGCTCGATGAATCTAATCCTTGAAACGTGACCTTTTTAGCACAACAACGCCGACTGTAATCTTTTTTGGCACGATTGTGACGTTTCTTGAGTATTAAAGGTGGCGGATAACGATTCATAATTATTTTTCTAATACTCACTAAGATATAGGTAATAATAAATATAAAATAAAAAATCTTTTTGTATATGTTGATCGCACAGCGTATTTAAACGAATTGAATTCAAAAACTTGGGTGCGATTAATAATTAGAGATTAATACGTTTTTCAAAGAAGAGGAATTTGATTGGAAGGAATTCAACAATTGGCTTGTTGATTAGACATTTCATCAGAAGTTTCGGTCAACCATTTTAACATTTCTTCGCAGCAATTGCGATTAAAAACGCGTTGAAGTGCAATACCTTTTTTCTTATCGATCCTATGGCGCCTCTTTGGTCGTTTCCTCATCTCCGATACCTTGGGAAAATTGTGTTAAATGGTGTTAACTTTAAAATTGAGTTTAACATACCCTATTTTTGATCCCAATTCTAAATGTTTCGATAGTAGCTCTAAGTTCTTTTAAATGGATTCCCCATTCCGCTTTTCTCTGCAACGCTTTAAGAAGAATGCCATGCGAAGAACAGTCATCAGAATCGTATTCATCCTCGTTATTTGACCATTCCCGCTTTGGCTTGCAATCTTCGTAATTGTAAGGAACTTCGGTTTTGACATGCTAAAGTGAAAAATTTTTGTTATTAATTTATTAATAATGATTTTTTTTTGCTCACTTTAGTTTTTTTGGTCTTTCTAGCAACTTTCTTGAGGAACAACCAATCGTAAATGGTTGCTTGAGGATCTGGAGGGAGTCGAACAGATTTGCCTAAAAAATAGAAAATGTTATGATTTAAAGTTTTAAGTGTTTTAATTGTGAGAATGTCGTTTTGTTTGAAAAGACGGATTCACGGTGAATCTGAGGGTGTACGAGTTTGAATAGTGTGCCGCGAGTTTGCAGTTCTGCATAAACAGAAATTTAGGAATGTGGGCAGATCTTATTTGCTTAACTGGAACGGTAAAGATCAGCAACTTTGAAGCGTCGGCTCTCAAACTCCAGAGAGCTCCGACGATGTGATTTTAGTATATTATCGGGACGAGCGTACCAAAGCGACGCTGTCCCGAATGAAATTTCGCTTAGAAATAAGAAAATGTTCTCGAACGTGCGAATTTAACCCTTAGGGACGTTTGAAATCAGTAGGGAGCATGCGCCAAAACGGGACAACGTTCTGGACGATTAGGGGGTTACTGATGTTGATCTAGCGACCCCAACCTCAATTAAGCGGCCCGTAAACGAAATTAAATATCACCCCCCAGCTCTTTTGTCGTTTATAATTAAGCCCTTTGTAATGCATTTTTATTATTGTTTTTTTCTGCAGAACTTTTTTCGGTCGAACGTATGAATCACGTGCGTGAGGGCGAAAGGACAGCTTTGTATGCCTCGAATCCAAGAAACTGCACCCGAGGGATAGCTATAGGCACTTCCCGTGCGACAAGAAACGGCACGAATGTGCGCATGTCCTTTCACAACCACCAGCGCTCTGCACTGCGGTCCCGGCGCGCTTTCAATATTATCTCCCGCTGGAGTCAACCCTATCACCTCGCGTTTTCCATGAATCTTATCCCAAAACATCGCTCCTATTTATGTACGATATTCATCACATTTTTTAATTTAAATTTATTATCAAAAATTTAATAAGCCAAAATTAGCATTAATTATAATCGTAACTTCCTGACATCTATTGGTGAGTAGGTGCTCAACTTCCTTATTGTAGCTAATAACCATAATGTGACGATAGTTATCACTCACCGTCTGCAGTAGAAATTTTCACGTTCTAAATTGAATGTATTGCTCGGATTACTTAGATTACTACGAATACTTATTTCGCATTAAATCGCGTGAACTATAAATAGTGCTATTTAAACCGCTTTAGAGTAATAAATTTTTTTACTGTGCATTGTTAAAATTAAAAAAGAATTTACAAAAACCTCCAAGGCGAAAACAGTTTCGATTTAATATTTTATTGTATTATTTGGAATAGAAGCTGTAATTTTAGTGATTAATTATGATCAATTCCCTAGGTTTATATCAAATACTTGAAAATTTTCTAGAAATTGTTTTAAATACTACAAAACTCTCAAATTCATTTCCAACCAGCTTCCTAAGTAATATTCCTTATAAGTAATAATCTCCAATAAAATCCAGAAACACTTCGATGGACTTTGGATATCTTGTAAAATGCTTCAAAATTGCTTGAATTTGCAGGAAAACTCAGCAGTAAATTGGAAATATTGCTAGAATCTTTGGAATCGATTCTAAGTCTTGAAAATTCCCAGGGAATCCATACAAAGTTTTTTAGAAATTCTTGGGAATATTTCATAAGTTGTTTTAATACTAGAAGTATCAGCAATAAATTCCAGAAATATTTGAAGAGACTTTAGAAACCTTTTAAATCCTCAAAAAATGCTAACAAATCTTTTGGTGATTATCTAAAAATTTTTGGAAATTGTCTAAATATTTTTGGTATTCAATAAATCACAGAAAATCCTTGAATATCTTTAAAAATCGTTAAGAATTCATCGAAACACCTTTCAGAATATGTTGGAAATACTTTCGAAATCAATAAAAATTTTCATTGAATACATAAGAAATAAAATGAAATATCAATAATACAAATATACATTTCATGGCAATTACACACTACACATTAAATAATAGAAAACGTTCTCCATCAAATATTCTTTTATTTTCCTCTTAAACCGTTGCCTAGACAGCGCAGTCAGCTGCGGTGGTAGTTCGTTGTACAGTTCTGTGGTACGATACCTGGTATTGGTGTCGTGATCTTGTCAGATAGCTATGTGTACCACCATTGGAGGGAAAACTGTCTCTGTTATCATGAACATGCAGCAATGCCGTAAGTATATATATGCTTGGAAAGGTAGCAGCCCACACAGCACCCGTACCGCCCTCTTTTGTAGTAGGAAGATCCACAGGAAATCTCACCTGCCTGGTGACTAGCTACTTGTTTTAGTCTTCGTATAGTAAAGATAGCAGAAGTCAGCCTAATCCTTAGATGTTTCAAATGTACTTCCCACGTCATTCCGCTGTCTAGATGCATAACCAGAAATTTTACAGTTGCAGATTCCCTCCCAAGTCTGTTTTTTCACTGTTTAGTTTGAGCAGATTATTACTGAACCATTCTTGAGTGGACAATATAGCTTCTTGTGATTTAGCCATCAAGTTATCCTTTGTAGTGTCCTTTAATACGATGTTTTTGTTTGTCCATCAAATACGATCTTATTAAATTTAGTTGTAGACCTCTAATACCATAAAACTGAAGTTTACTCAGGTCGATCTGAACTACATTTTGCTCATCGTGTGCTTTCGTTATAAAGGCAATTACTTCAGAAACAGCCGTCATTACCGATCTGCCTGATTGGTACCCGTGCTGATTGGTCGCAAAATATTTATTGGTTTTAAAGTATTCCACTAATCTTCTTGCTATTAATCTTTCAAATATCTTGGAGATAACGGGCTAAATTGATATAGGTCTATAATTGTTATAGTCTTCTTTATCACACTTCTTATGTAATGGCAAGACTTTCGCTGTCTTGAACTCTGAAGGAAAAATTCCATCGCTGACACATTTATTGAACATTATATTAAGATTTTTTGCTGTTAAGCAAACTTTTTAAGCTTTGTTAAGCTGACTTTTTGACTTGTTGCTATAACTGTTGTTATTATTTCTGTTGTTGTTATTGGTCTGAAGAAAAAAGAATTTACATTTGTCACATTTAAGTTTTTGAGGTAGCGATTAAGATCCTCTCAACCACCTCTATAAAGTGTATGTTGATGTTCTCAATGTCGAGAGGTACAGGACCACTATTTGAGCCACTCTTGGTATACTGATTTATTACCTTCCATATTGCATGTTGTTTGTTGCCAGCACTATAATCATGAATTGTCTCAGAGATACGATATTTTATGTACAGCTGATAACATTCCTGGGATTTGGAAACACTCATAACTGTAAATAAAGCCTCCAAAGTTCTTTCCATGTTCATCAATTCAGTGTTCTTGAACTGTTTCATTTTTCTTGTGCTTGACTTTATCTTTTTCTTTACATCGTCAAAACCTACAGAAGATGTCAAAAATACTTCGAAGTATCAGAAAATGCGTGGAAATTCTAGAATTTCAAGAAATCTTCTAGAAATCTTGGAAATATTTGAGAAGTCTCTGTAAAACCAGACCTATATTTAATAAATCCTAGAGAGCTTGGAAATTGTTTAAAAATTTTTGGTATTCAATAAATCACAGAAAATCCTTAAAAATCGTTAAGAACCCATCGAAAATGCTTGAACATCTTTCAGAATATGTTGGAAATACTTTGGAAATCATTAAAAATTCAGATTCATCATCAAAACCTACAGGAGATGTCAAAAAATATTTTGAAGTATCAGAAAATGCGTGGAAATTCTAGAATTTCAAGAAATCTTCTAGAAATCTTGGAAATATTTGAGAAGTCTCTGTAAAACCAGACCTATATTTAATAAATCCTAGAGAGCTTGGAAATTGTTTAAAAATTTTTGGTATTCAATAAATCACAGAAAATCCTTAAAAATCGTTAAGAACCCATCGAAAATGCTTGAACACCTTTCAGAATATGTTGGAAATACTTTGGAAATCATTGAAAATTCAGATTCATCATCAAAACCTACAGGAGATGTCAAAAAATACTTTGAAGTATCAGAACATGCGTGGAAATTCTAGAATTTCCAGAAATCTTGGAAATACTTGGGAAGTCTCTGTAAAACCAGATCTCTCTCCAATAATTTTTAGAGAGCTTGGAAATTTCGACATTTTTCTAAAAATTCTTGGAAATAGATAACCAAGTAAATAACTCAATCAAATAAAGGCAAAAAAAAGTGTATATTAGCTTTTTTATTCTATTTCATAGGAGAAAGTAATATTAAATAGTGTTATAGGCGAATTTGAAGCTGTTATAAAAGAAAATAAATAAAATAATATTTAGTTATGCTTGATAAAGGAGAACAAAACAATCAAGTCGCTAATATAAACAGTTTACTTTTAATTTCTATTTTTCATAATATTAGAGATTACAATTTTAATCGTTGATAATTTAATAACAATTATAGAACTGTTGGAATTTTTATTAATCTAAACATTTTTGAGTAATGATTAAGAATTAAATAAGAAATAAATGGAGTTCATAGTTGATTAAGAATAGAAAAATTTTAGATTATAATTTTTATTTTAAAATCCTATCGCGTTAGTTTATTTAATAATTTGAAAGTAATTTTGTTGTTATTTTTAATAATATGTTAAAAATGAAAACTTACCAGGTAGGATGTGAGTAAAATAATAAGTTCTAACTAAACATCCTCCGTTATAATGGTGTTCGTCGAAAATGTTAATGTCAAGAGAAGACATGCAGGTTGCCATAGCAAAATTAATTTAAATTATAACCGGAGTGAGGTGGTAAGCAGTACCATAGCACAACTGGAATTGTGGCACCTACACCATCGAGTAAATTAGCAAAAGCAATTGGACTCTGTTTGGAAAAGTCTCAGACGATAAACAAGAGGCAATATGATACCGTTCTGCAATACAATCTTATCTTGTTAAAGGATATACCATTCTATACGATTTGGATAAGGTATTTTGGTGATAAACGAATACCGAGGAGCTATCGAGCGATAGCTTTCTTGAAACCGTTCGCAAACTTGTGTCAACATCATTAAAAAAAGCCCTCTCAACTTTTTTCCGAAGACCCGCGCCCTCGCCTTAAATTATTCAACGTAATGCCCGGCTATTTAGGTCAACCTTTTCAGTAAAAAAAAAAGAAAAAGTAGAAGAAGAGAAAAAAATACCGTTTCCTTGTCGTGCGTCGAAATATGTACGGTTAAAATCGGCACATATCCGCCGGATAGTACATGAAATGTTGCATTGCAAAATCGATATTATAGTGGCCGCTACAGAGAATTGATGGCATCTGAATGGAATCTCGAACACCCATATTTATGGCATCAACTCTCTCTCTAAATCATTGAAAAATTAATAACCATCCATGCTACGATAAAACTTCAAACAATAATCATTTCCTAATAAACCCTCATTTGCGCCTTCATTACATTTAATTAACCGTGCAGCATTCCGCTGAACACTCCAGATCAAAGCCACGTTTCGAAATTGCCATTTCCCTTTGTGAAGATGCACCACTTTTGGTGGTCGCGCCAGGTGTCACTTTTGCGGTACGAAATGGATTCCGTTCCCTTTACATCATCTTCTCTTAGTTCGTACCGGACCCTCAAGATTCTAACCAAGACGTTGAAGACCGTTTTGCGGCCAACACATCAAAGGAACTTTACTTAATCAATTCCCACCTTTAATTAACAAACTAACTTAATTAAACGAATTTGGAGTATCAATTACAATAATTATATATATAAATTGTATCGAATTTAACTCCGTATGCGCAAAACAAATCCGTTTAAGTCTACGGTGTTGAAAATGTACTTGTGTGCTAAATTAGGTCATAAATAAAGTAATAAATAGTTAAACGGGATGTTCCCGGATTCAAGCTGTGCGAGGTCAAGAACTCCACTTTCCTATTTACCGATTGATTTCCGAGGAATAAAAATTCAATGGGCTGTGGAAATTACCCCATGGTGCGGGTACGATTTGTTTGCGTAGTTTCGTAGATTTCGATGCTATACTATTAAATTAATTGCAATTCCAACCCCGCAGAGAATTTATGTCTGGTTAAGTCTAGAATGATATTTTAGTCATGCTTTGCGGAATTCTCGCAGATTTACGATCCATATGGACTATAAGTGAGACCTTAAGACTATTCTTTATTTATTTTTAATGAAATTATTTTATGAAATATTAGAAAATTCTAGAATTTTCAGAAATCTGTAAAACCAGATCTATCTCCAATAAATTCTAGAGAGCTTGGAAATTGTCTAAACATTTTTGGCATTTAATAAATCACAGAAAATCCTGGAATATCCTTAAGAACCCATCGAAAATGCTTGAAATACTTCGAAGTATCAAAAAATGCGTGGAAATTCTAGAATTTTCACAAATCTTCTAGAAATCTTGGAAATACTTGGGAAGTCTCTGTAAAACCAGATCTTATATCATCAGTAATCTTGATCAGTGCAGTTGTAGTACTGTGACCTGGCCAGAAACCAGATTGCAAATACTTGATTATATACAATACGCTCAAATGCCTTTGACAGGATAGAGAGAATTGATATAGGACGAAAGTCACAAGAGGAAACTGGAGTTTTTAACTTAGGAATAGGCATAACATGCGCCAGCTTCTAAGAAAACAAAAGTTAAGTTAAGTTTCTAAGAAAAGTTATAGATAATAATATAAATTGATAAATAATAATAATTGATATCAATCACAGTGAGCGACAAGCTAGAAGAAATAAGATTAGATGCCTCAATACAACACCTTGTGTAGGAGCAAAATCAATGACACCAAGAAACCTTAGAAGTTTTCCAGAACGTCTTAGGAGTAGTCCCAGTCAATTTCTGGTAAAAATATGCTTTCTTCGCATTTTTACATCTATGATCTACGCAGTACACGATACCTTTCATAGTTAATATTTGATGAATTGCGTTTAAGAAGCATTTTAGCTCTGTTTCGTGCAAGCATAAGGTCTCTAATCTCATCATTTAGCTAGGGGGCACCAAAATACTTTACTTTTCTTTGCTTAAGCGGGGCATGTTTATTATACAAACATGTAATTTTATCATTAAAAGGCTGTGTCATGGCTGCCAATCAATCAGCAATGCATCAGATTTGAGGTGTTCATAATCAATGTGCCTAAAATCACGGTGAGTGAACATGCGATGAGAAGAGACAGGCTGCCGAACTTGAACAGCACAATAAATCAGATCATGACAAGAAAACTGTTCAACAAGTTATTGGCCATGTGTTAAAATTTTATCTGGACAGGACGTAATGATGAGATCAAGAAGAGATTGTGATGATGGCATTAACAGGAGGTCTTCAAAATGGTCGAAATAATTCACTCCTAGGGGACAATACAACACATTTAGTAGTAACCTCTCACAACGACACTTAACCTCAATCAATAAGAATTCCATTTCGTTTTGAAATCCATCAGTTAATTCCACCAGTTTAGTTTGAAAATGATTCCTGATAAAAATCCCAACCTCACCACCCCGGGAATATTCACGATCATTTCTTAGTAAACAATAACTTGGTAAGACAAACATGGAAGAGGGCCTAAACCAAGTTTCGCTAACCAAGATTACATCAAATATGTTTGACTCAAAAGTATATAAGAAGTCATCAAAATGAGCATAAAAACTTTGGGCATTAATATGACATACTGCTATGATATAATACCTCATCCACATTACTCATATTCCCAGAGGAAAAATGTAGGGTATTCCCAAAAGAGGATTCCAGGAAAGGGGTAGAGGAAGAATCAGATCTATTTCCAATAAATTCTAGAGAGCTTGGAAATTGTCTAAAAATTGTTGATATTTAATAAATTACAGAAAATTCTTGCATATCCTTAAAAATCGTTAAGAACCCATCGAAAATGCTTGAACACCTTTCAGAATATGTTGGAAGTATTTTGGAAATCATTAAAAATTTAGATTCATCATCACAACCTATAGGAGATGTCAAAAAATACTTCGAAGTATCAGAAAATGCGTGGAAATTCTAGAATTTTCAGAAATCTTTTAGAAATCTTGGAAATACTTGGGAAGTCTCTGTAAAACCAGATTTATCTTTAATAAATTTTAGAGAGTTTGGAAATTGTCTAAAAATTTTTGGTATTCAATAAATCACAGAAAATCCTTGATATCCTTAAAAATCATTAAGAGCTCATCGAAAATGTTTGAACACCTTTTAGAATATGTTGGAAGTATTTTGGAAATCATTAAAAATTCAGATTCATCATCAAAACCTACAAGAGATGTCAAAAAATACTTCGAAGTATCAGAAAATGTGTGGAAATTCTAGAATTTTCATAAATCTTCTTGAAATCTTGGAAATACTTGGGAAATCTCTGTAAAACCTGATTTATCTTTAATAAATTTTAGAGAGTTTGGAAATTGTCTAAAAATTTTTGGTATTCAATAAATCACAGAAAATCCTTGATATCCTTAAAAATCGTTAAGAACCCATCGAAAATGCTTGAACACCTTTCAAGATATGTTGGAAGTATTTTGGAAATCATTAAAAATTCAGATTCATCATCAAAACCTACAAGAGATGTCAAAAAATACTTCGAAGTAACAGAAAATGCGTGGAAATTCTAGAATTTTCAGAAATCTTCTAGAAATCTTGGAAATACTTAGCAAGTCGCTGTAAAACCAGATCTATCTCCAATAAATTCTAGAAAGGTTGGAAATTGTCTAAACATTTTTGGTATTTAATAAATCACAGAAAATCCATGAATATCCTTAAAAATCGTTAAGAATCCATCGAAAGTGCTTGAATTCCTTTCAGAATATGTTGGAAATACTTTGGAAATCATTGAAAATTCAGATTCGTCATCAAAACCTACAGGAGATGTCAAAAAATACTTCGAAGTATCAGAAAATGCGTGGAAATTCTAGAATTTTCATAAATCTTCTAGAAATCTTGGAAATACTTGGGAAGTCTCTGTAAAACCAGATTTATCTTTAATAAATTTTAGAGTTTGGAAATTGTCTAAAAAATTTTGGTATTCAATAAATTACAGAAAATCCTTGATATCCTTAAAAATCATTAAGAGCTCATCGAAAATGTTTGAACACCTTTTAGAATATGTTGGAAGTATTTTGGAAATCATTCAGATTCATCATCAAAACCTACAGGAGATGTCAAAAAATACTTCGAAGTATCAGAAAATTCTAGAATTTCCAGAAATTTTGGAAATACTTGGGAAATCTCTGTAAAATCAGATCTATCTTTAATAAATTTTAGCGAGCTTGAAAATTTTTCTAGAAATTCTTGGAAATTGTCTAAAAATAGATAACCAAGTAAATAATTCAATCAAATAAAGGCACAAATATTTCAAGAACAACACGTCAGATACTTGGACTTAGGTTGTAATCAATTAAAGTATATATTATTTAAATAAAGGAATAAAAAAATAAAAGTATTCTTTATTTTTTTTAATACAATTTTTGCATATATATTTTTTTAAGAAAAAAGTATTTTTTGATAAGGTTTCCGGTGTTCAGTTGGCACAAGTCTATATATCACGGAGATGGTACGTGCCTTGAAATTTCATATGACATCGTCGAGTGGTAAAAAATAATGAGAAAAAGAAATGGTTTTGGGGTGAGTTCGTCGGCAATTACTTAGTTTTTAATCTGGTGTAATTGTGGCGGCGAGCTGACGGTAGTAAGTAAAAATCGATTGATGAAATTGAATCATCGGGCCGGATTAGATAAATCCTCGTGAAACCGAGAAGT